CAATCCCATTTGTCCAGGACTTCTTGGTCTGTGCTAGGGATTCATGCGTTCTATTAATGAACGCACTCAACTAGTGGTTTCTATTGGTTTGAAATTATAAGAAACAGGTTTCCTAAATTCTCTCTTCTCTGGCTTTTAAAATATTTTTCTTACACCCAGAGCAAACGGTCAACAGCAAGTGTTGGCTCTTGATGGAATAAACATGTCACTCTGTCAGCTTAACATGTATTCAGCCTTCCGGGACTCATTAGTGCCAAAAGGACTTGAAAGCAATTGTAGTTCTTGTTGTTATACAGCTAAGGAAAGTTCATCAGTTTCAAAGTTGTCTGCCTTGAACTTGCTTAAACTGTGAGGCATGAGATCCAGATTATACTCAGAACACTAAGCCTTAGAATCAACCCTTTTAAAAGTTGCTTAATTAAAATGGAAAATATTTTTAAGTGTTGTTTTTTTTTTAAGATTTTACAAACTAATATTCTGCATCTTCCTGCACGCTGACCTTCTGTTAATGTACTTGAAGGTCATTTGAAACTAGTCAAATGTTACTTTAACATTTGTAGTGGTCAAACTATGGACTCAAATTATGCTTCTATGTTTTATGGGCAAAGTTATTTCACTAAACATTTTACTGAATTTTCATCATAATGTATACATTGACCTGGATATTACCACCCTGGTTCATGGTAAGTGTTAAAGAGCAAAATACTTGTTGATAACCAAAGACAATTTATATTTTCACGGAAGCCAAAGCATTGGTTACATCGCAAGCTTTGGGAGCACATCATGAAAATATTCACATCATGAAAATATTTCTGGACACCTCCTGGAACTCCTCTCCTTGGGCCCACAGATACTCTTAAGGGGAAGTTGTTGAAGTGCCCCCTGTTACTTCTTACAGCTTCTAAGTACATCCTATCTAAGTTGCATGGGGCATGAACAGTGTGTCCTGGTTCAGGTTAGTGTCTCCTCCACTCTGAGCAGGGAGTGGGGTTTCCAATAGTGGCTGATTAAATAGTGAAACAGCTATTTAATTCTGCTCCAGTGGTGATCAGGGTGAATGCATACCCTTACTCTTCCTTCCTGGTCTTCAGGCACCTATTCTAGGATTCCGATGTCAGTATCACCTCCCCGAAGGCAGCTGATCTGCTGTGGCGTGGGGAAGGCCACAACCCCTCGCCATGCAAGCATGTCAGGGAGCTTCCCAGTTGAGGCCCAGCAAGGCGGCCCTCCCTCCCCCATGCCCAAGGGGTGGGTCTAGCTATCTACCTCAATGCTCGTGGTCGGAGACCCCAGCTAGCTCCTCTCTTCCTCGGATTTCATCTTTTCTAAAATAGAGAACTATGATTTTGCCCAGTACCTCAGGAGAGTGTTGGAGAATCAAGTGAAGAATGGCCAGAAGCACTTAGCAAGTGCCCACTGGAAATGGTCTTCCTTTGCTGAACTGCACAGGTACTTTGCTCATCAGTCTCAGCAACGAAAAACAGCAGATTGGTTTCTCTCTTGTGAAAACCCTTCCTGTGCTTATAATTAGTACCTCAGGACCGGTTAGCTTGTTCTTCATGATGCAGCAGTGTCTTCTCCCGAGCGGCAGCTCATCTCACCCATATCGCACTCAGTCATTTTTGTCCCTCTTCTCTTTACTACTATCCCATGGAATTAGGAGTTACAATGATGAGGTTTCATTTTTAAATGTACAAAGATGGAAGAAGACTAAGGAAGTAATTTTATTTAAAGCCACACATGTATTTGTTTCAATCAAGTTAAAGGAAAATCTCTCAGGCCAAATATTATAATTTTTCTATGAAGTCAGTGTAAGTTTTAAATGTGTAATCTGGAGTTATGTTATAATAAAGCCAAGTAATTCATATTATGAGCAAAGTATTCAACTTTGCTATCATAGTTACCTAGCAGGCCCCTGTGTTCTTTTCATTACCTTCTGATAGCAAAAGTGATATTTATTGTGGAAAAATTGGAAAATATTTTAAAAGGTAGAATCAAAAGAAAATAGCCTGTAATTGTACTGCTCGGACTAACCACTGATAACATTTTATGTGTACACACATATGTAGAAACAGATACGCAGGATTTATTTGCAGTGCATAGAACACACACGTAAAAAAATCCAAAAAAGATGTTATTGCATGTGCTGTTGTGAATCTGTACTAGCTTACCAAGGTTAAACAGGAAGTATCTGACCTCATGAACCAGGAAGTCCCCAGACAGGACAGGCTGCTGGATGGTTGGTTCATTGGCTCTATGAGGTCGTGAAGGACCCAAGTGCTTTCCATTCTCTCTGTTCTGCCATCACCATTATCAGCTTCATGCGAAGGTCGTTTCTCTCGTAGCCATAAAATCACCACCAGGAACACGTGGGGACAAAATGATCAAGACCCACACCTGATACTGGGAATGGGGCCGGCTCTCTCTTGTTGCGTGGCTGGATTGCAGAGGGAAGCCATGGTTGCCACAACAAAATCAAGGCCGCTAAGAAAGAAGACAGGATGGGTGCATGATACCTGCTTTACTGTCTTTAAACATGGGTTTCTTCTTAAGGTTTACAGCAGTTATCAGAATTTAAAATTAAGATGAATGGTTTTAGATGCTTTATTTTCATTTAAAAAGTCAGTCTCTTGTAGAAATGCTCTGTTCAGAAAGATTTGAATAGGAACAAACACTTGGTTTCTGGGAAATTAATCTTCACGTTCTCCAAAGATGTAGCATTTTCATGGTGTCTTTTTGGCAGCAGCAGTTTTTTTTTTCATGAATTTTGACTTAAACCTGTATAGAAATTAAAAACTAAAAGAAAAAGATAAGCCTAAAGATAAAAGTTATAATAGATGGAAACTTTAATATTTTTATTTTTATGTACTTTTTAAATTTTCAATACTCTTGAAAATAATGCCATAAATAATATCGAGAATTCATGGTCATTTTATAAGGATAATTCTGAGAAACAATAGGCATATTTGAAATTACTATGGTAAAAATCAGATGTTAAAGAAAACGTTATATATTCAGTTTTTAAATTGTACTACTAAATATGTAACTTCATGTGTAGTAAATATTCATATTTAATTTTAGCTGCCAGTATAACATATACTAAAATAAAATGGAACAATTTCTATGGTTCTATAAAAGAATCTATAAAGGAGCCATAAATAATTATAATAAAACTCTTTTGAATATTTTTATGGGACTAAAAATTGAAAACTTCCTAATAGGGAAATTTTCATAAATGAGACATGAAGTAAGTTAGTCATAGAGACCTCAAACAGTAATATATCCTATGGGAACCCTGAATAAGCAATAACTTCTTAAGATAATTTTATATAATGTATAAAAATCAAGAGTTTTTGAAAAAGCTCTGCAAAAGGTAGCAGGAAGAAAAAGGATGATTATAATGCTAAAATTCCTCATGAGAGGTTACTCTTTTTGCACGATTTTAATGTTACCAGAAGAAAGATTTTAGAGGATCTGAATCTGAAAGTGCTGTAACTATTCCCTATAGAGTAACGCAATTGTGGGTTACACAACTCACTCTGGAGTCCCAAGATGTTTCTCTTGTTTTTGAAAAAAGAGCTTAGACTAAATGATATTTGGTGCTCAAAATGCATCTTACCTTCTAAGCCAAATTCACCAGCCAATGAATAGTTTACTCACATTCATACTACTAGTATCCGGTAAGTTATATTATATATTTTTTTTTTTTTTTTTTTTTTGAGACGGAGTCTCGCTCTATCACCAGACTGGAATGCGGTGGTGTGGTGTGATCTTGGATCACTGCAACCTCTGCCCCCCAGGTTCAAATGATTCTCCTGCCTCAGCCTCCCTAGTAGCTGGGACTACAGGCACGTGCCACCACACCTAACTAATTTTTGTATTTTCAGTAGAGATGAGGTTTCACCACGTTGGCCAGGATGGTCTCAATCTCTTGACCTCGTGATCTGCCCACCTCACCCTCCCAAAGTGCTGGGATTACAGTCGTGAGCCACCGTGCTCAGCCTGTATTTTTTTTAAACAAATTTTACCTCCCTCATCCACCTCTTTAACTGGCAAAAATAATACAGAATTATAAGGGAAGGATACCATAAGACACCCATTTCAAATAAAAGTTCCTTGGATGTATGGAAGTTGTGTCTGTATTGTTTTTATTCTTTTTTAAAAATTAGTATAATGAGAGTCTTTCTATGGTGTGATCGGATGAGTATTAATCTGATTGGGAAAAGACCTAGTCCCTTCTCTGCTGTTAAGCTGCTGTGTTACCTAGGACAAGCAGCTTAATTTCTGTGAGCCTCAGTGGCTCAGAGAAAGGGCGGGTGCATTAAACGAGTCTCAGAGATGCCTTTCCCACTAGAATCAGGATGAATGAGAAGGTCTTGGTCACGATCAAGGAGACTATTTACTCGTCCTTTGCACTTCTAAGACATGGGGAGATAATACAGGTGAAAAAGACGTGGCCTGGAGTTAATAATGATGGGAGAATTTAAGTTGAAGGGGGGCAGCACTGTGCCCATTGGCAACTTTCCTTCTATGCACCAGTGTAGGTATCCATACACAAAGCCTCTGATGAGGCTCCCCTGAGGTGGAGAAAACCACAGCTAATTCACTTGCCCTGGGTCAGGGTTGTGGTGGTCCAGCCTTCTAATTGAAGGGATTCCTTCTAACTGGTGGTGTTATACATTCTCAGAGGAAGAACCTCTGAGTTTTAATGAACTCTGGATGTCTGTGTTCCAGAACATTTTTCTTCTTCACAGTCAAGTGCTGGTGCAGATGTGGAGCACCCGGTAGGCTCGGACACTGGGGCTGCAGGGTGCTAGCTGGACCAGAAGAGACTCTCTCTGCCATTGTCGTATTCTTGAAGTCAGCCTGTGTATTGTTTTTGTCCTTCCAGCTCTTCTTTTAAACTCTAGGCATTCCTTTATCGTTGACCTAATTAATTGTGTCTTACAAGTAAGTTCCCTGGAGTAGCTTTGACGCTGTCCTCTTCTTTTCTGAAACAGAGCCATCACGTTGGAGAATCAGCTGGTGATCCTGGCCACGACAGCCAGTGACGCCGGGGCATACTACGTGCAGGCCGTGAATGAGAAGAATGGAGAAAACAAGACAAGCCCATTCATTCATTTGAGCATAGCAAGTGAGTTTTGAAATCCCAAATCATAATTCTGAAAGCAATAAAATCTTGCTTTAATTAATAACCACTGTCTGACGGGACATTTTGCAATAAATTGTATCTCTCTAGTGTAGTAGTTATGGTTTAATGTTGATCCAATGCCAATAGTTTGGAGAGCTTTAGAGCTTTTTCTTTCTTCAAAATGATATGCAGAAAAATGTGAATCTAACTGATACTTCTGAATGCCAGATCTTATTTGTTTTGGGAATTAAAAAAGAAAAAGTATTTGCTTTTTATACACAGTCAATGCATATTGTTCCTAACAACAGCAAAAAAAACCTTTCAATTTAAATGAATTGTATCTATGAACCTAAATCAGGACTAGACTAGGTATAGATTATATTCTTTTAATCTAACAAGAAAATCCTTGAGAAATTCTACATATTAAGTTGTACCAAAATTAGAGTATTTAAGCATAATCAGTTGATCATTTTTTCCACCTAATTTAACTAAAAGCCTGATTCTTGAAGAGAATGCACACAAATCATGGGTATTTGTAGATTTTATCTGAGGGGACTTTAGTTTGAGGAAACTTAGTTTTACATGTTTGGCCTTTAAATTCTTCCAGCAAGAGTTAATTGCTAAAGAAGGGAAAATCACCCAAAGCAGGAACTCCGAACTAAACTACATTCAGACATCCATATCAGAAGGCTTGTCATCAAATGTTTGCAGCATGAAGCGTCATGGTATGAAATGAAGTTGTCATGCGGTTGAGAAAATAGGGTTGAAACTAGTCATGGTGGATGGTAAATTTCAGATTATTATGATCATATCATATGAGTGAATTATATTGATTTGTTTGTATAGTAGTGGATTTTATCTTTTTAAAAATTATATTGAAGGAACGGTTTCCCCCTGCAGGTGGTTTGAAAAGTATGTGGGGCTAGGCGCGGTAGCTCACACCTGTGATCCCAGCAATTTGGGAGGCCAAGGCAGGCAGATTACTTGAGGTCAGGAGCTCAAGACCAGCCTGGCCAACATGGTGAAGCCCTGTCTCTCCTAAAAATGCAAAATTAGCCAGGCATGGTGGTGCGCACCTGTAATCCCAGCTACTCAGGAGGCTGAGACAGGAGAGTCGCTTGAAACCAGGAGGCGGAGGTTGCAGTGAGCTGAGGTCACACCATTACACTCCAGCCTGGGCAAAAAGAATGAAACTCTGCCTCATAAAAAAAAAAGTATGTGAGATGGAGTGAGTATTTGCCTCACATGGCCCTCGAGGGGTACAATTGCCTTAGGCCCAGTAGAATTTCCTGGGTGAATCTTTGTAGCAAACTCTGGGTGCAGGCATCTGTGGGAGTTAACTGAGTTGAGTCTCAGATGCCTGCCTAATTGGTCCCAAGTGGCCATGATGTGTTGTCATCCTGCCTTGAGCTCCTTAATTTGAGGAACTGAATCTTGCTCTCCAGAATGTAGACTCAGTACAGATTTAGGATGAATGGGATCTTTGTGATGCCATGGAGAATGATGCACATGGATTAGGTGTGGGGTTCACAAAATCCAGTGCATGCTGTACTGCGATGTAAAGGACTGTCTGCATCAGGAATTACAGTAGAAATGAGGATGATTTATTGAGATTTTTTCCCAAGGGTGATGATAAAGAATGGTAATTGTATTTTCAAATAAATTGTTATTATTTTAATGATTCCAAACTTTATAAGTAGAGCCATTTATCTTGTTTCGCAAATATGATTCTGTACTCAATTGTAATATAACTACCAGGATAATAATGAGTCAAAGGGGGTGAAATTCTGCGTCAGAAACAAGGAAGTTGGCCTTCCTCTGGTAGAAGAGGGGAAAAAATTATTCCACAGAAACTCTGGTTAACATCACAAAGTTATTAAACAGTCCTTACCCTGTCCTTGCCTACCTGCCTACTCTATAAGGGCCAGCTGAAAAGAAAGCAAGTAGAGTGAATTTGCACACTGCTGTACTAACATAATACCATGGTGTTAGATAATTGGAATATGTAAATTTTTTTTTCAGTAATTTCAGTTTCTACCCTGACCAAAAAGTATATTGAAAGCTGCTCATAAATATTATAATTAACTGGCTTGCATTTTGTTCCTTTGTATGTACATTTTTAACTTTTCATTGGCACCAGGTAAAAATGTGTAAAAAGTGAGATACAAGGCAGTTAATGATACAGACTTATTTTAAATCTTAGGAGAAAACCTACATTTTGTGCCTTTATGAATTATTTGCTTTTTATGAGGGCCAGGTGAAATGGGAGAAGTAAGGATGTTGAGGAAACTGCCTTATTTTAATTCTTAGGAGAACCTTCCTGTTGACATATGGGATTTAGCTAAATGTTAAACGGCAACCAATTATGCTTCTTCTTCTTCTTCTTTTTTTTTTTTTTTTGCTAAAAGTTTTATTTTGAAAACCTCTAAAAGTCAGAAGTCTTGATTAATCTGCAGAATCCCCCAGAATTGTTTAAACTGTGCTCTTTCTGGAATTCAGTGAGTGCTCTAAGCAATGAACACTGCAGTTGAGGTCCTGGCCACCTTGCTCCTGGTGAGTTTGTGGAGTACTGGAGGGTGCGTCTCCTTACCAGATTTGTTATGAAATTAGATCTTCTCGAGACCTATTGATACTGGGAGTAAGATAGAGTGTTCTGCAGACTTAGATATCTTTTTCTTCTGATGTAGGCTTTTGTGGAAACACCACACAAGATTGAGGAAAATTTGTGAAAACTTTCCAGCCAGCATTTCTGAAAAATCAAAAGATATTACAGCCAATTATCATTTAACAAAGACACATTTTTTTTCTTGCTGTCGGGAGAATAAAGCAGGGAACCATTATGTAGTGACACCATGGGGATGATCGGGTACTGGCAATTAAATTCCTGGTGGATTGTGCTGTGATTAGTTTAAAATCGGAGTGTCACACAGCCCCGCCTCTTGTTTGCTGTTGTGGTAATAATCCGTTCCTTCCTTGAGGACAGCACCGTGTCAGAGTGCAGCGGCAACCAGGTCTAGCTGTGTCTCAAAACATCTAAATAAGTGATGCGCTGTCACCCAGCTAACAGGAGGAAGTAATCCATTTTCATCAACAACCTTGTACTTGAGAGTTCAAAAACGTCACCCTTTTTCAATTGCTAGATACTGTGGCTCCACCTGAAGCTTATGGGAAGCAAAAGATAAAGAGGTTTTGGATTTAAATATTATATATTTTTTAAAAAGCATGACTGTTAGAAGTGAGATGCAGTCCCACAATGGTACCGCCTGCTGTTTTGTGCATATTTAGTAGACGGCATGATTATCTCTTAACATTTCTCCCCTTTTGCATGGTTAAGAAGATAAATTCCAGCATGTTCTGCACCACTATTCCTGTAGGGAAGGAGAGGACTTCTCTGAACTCTCCACCCCGCTGCCCCGGTGAAAGCTTGCTGCCATCCCAGGGGTGGATCCACTTTGAAGTTTTAATGTGATGTGAAGCCAGCAGATGTTAAGGACATAGGTGGGACTGTTGAAGCGTCCTGCATGAATTTTTCATGGCCGGCTCCCACTGCTCAGGTGCACACCAGAAAAAGAAGGGCTTGAGCCTGCCTGAGAGTAGACGTGTCTGTTCTGAGGTCAGACCCGGGCAAGCTTCATGAACCTGTCAACCTATTTTTGGCTTTTGCTTAGAAGATTTTACATTGAGTTAACCTTTGTGGAACAGAACTTCTGACCCGAATTACTATGTGAATAAGAGTTTCTTCCTTTAAAAAAAAAAAAAAAAAAGCGTAGAGTTAGGCGATGAGATGAATTCTACACAATGGTTAATCAGTCATTGTTTATATGCCATTGTACATACCTTAGACATAGCATCAGTTCTGATCCAATATTCAAAATGTCCACCGTAATGAGATTCTCTACTAGGGATGAAGCTTGGATTAAAAAGAAATGACTGCCTGTCTCCTTCCTGTTTTTTTCACCTCTTTCATTTTAATGTCTCCTCTTCAAACAACATTTGTAGATAGGATATCATTTCAGCTGATCCTCCTTCAGGCTGACAAACCCTTGCTTTTAATTCTGAAGACCACTTAACATTCTTTTGTCCTCTATAATGCTAATTTAACTGCAGGCTCATATAGGTTTAGTAGTTGAAAGTGGATTCCTGAAAATCATGTCTATGAACAGTCATTTGAGAGGACTGCCCTGTAAAACATGGCTTTTGTGTGCCCAGGTAAAACTCTCTCCTATTTTCCTTGTACCTTTAACGTTAAAGGGAGAGAGGAGAACAGGCAGACGCCTTCCAGATGGCCTCTGACGTGGCTCGGGTTCCTAAAACAATAGGAACTTGAATTTGAAATATTACTAAAAACCAATCTGGGGCCTAGCCCCACATCACAAATGAGCAATTTAGAACCAAGTATAGTTTTATAGATTGTATGGCACTTTACTGCCAGAATTTTTCAGAAACATGAATAAGAAGTCTATTTTATAGTGAAGTCATGAGTTTAATCATTTAGCCATGCATTGAACCTGCTGTACGGAGTGAAGCATGAAGCATGCTCTGCGCTGGCCTCCTGAGCTGCTGTTGGACAGAACTTAGTCTAGGCCTTGGTCCCTAATGCTTTTCCATAAACACACCATCGGGAAACAAGCCTTGAGCATTTACCCCTTGTGCGTGGACACCTAGTTACTTATCAATTCTAAGCATTAACCATCAGACAGAAGAGAGGAAGAGAATCCGCTAATTATGAAGGTTCCCTTCCGTCTTTACTTGACGTCTCATGGCGCGATATGCACTTTGTGAATGGAAATGCATATTTTACTTGATTTTCTTGATACAATCTAGTTTCTTGGAAAAATTCTTATGACATCTGGTTACAGAGAATTGTTTGTCTTGGCGACATGGCTTCTACTAACAACACAAGTGTTCCTGCTGCCGTGTGTTGCCATCTGATTGTGCTGGCCTTGTAAGTGACTCAGATCTGTGGTTTCTTCCCAGAAATGCCTTTGACTTCAGTTGTCCAC